TATATATTGATAAACAGCTAAAATGGCTGATATAATCTCAAAGTTACTATATTATGAGATGTAATCGGTGTAACATGAAGTATTTTGCGTGTTTTCTTTGTTATATATGATGTTGTATTACATCACTTGAAATGGCCGGCATATTGAGTTCGGAATTCCATTGTTATTACATGTTATATCATTCATGTAAAGATTCAGATGAAATAGATTATCATTATTCCTATCTATGCCAGCTGCGTCTTCTAAAAACTTATCCTGAGCGCGAAAATTGCTTGAATGAACGAATGAGATAGGAAAATAAGGAAGATTCCAACCTATTGACAGTTGGCTCAAAAATTAGTCTGCCAGTATTGAGAGCAGTTTATCGGTTTTTGTTTATCTCGAATAATTGCTAGTTAGTAATTCTCTGTGAATTCAATCGTCCGGCGTTAGATGAAAATTACTGCTTCTCGATGATCAGAAGATTTTGATAAAGTTATGCAGATTCTAGACGGGGTCGTGTGACAATGTTTCGCACTGTTGAAATATAGGAGTTAGTCATGATTTTGCAAGTAGTTTGGAGTGTGGTTGATAGACGTAAGTTGTAGTTGCGGTGCAGAATATTACTAGTTTGAATACTCAAATCGAGTCAATTAGATGATTGGAAAGTAATCTTACCTTCCTGTTCCAACAGACTCATTCCCAAATACCAACGTCGCTTATACTCTTCCACGAGAGACTGATCGAGAATACCCGTCTTGGCGGAGAAGTCATCGATTTCATCCAAACACCTTCCTTTGAAACAGCATGGAAAATCACCTGAACGTGGGTGCTGCTGATGATTGGATGTCGTTATATGAAAATGTTGAAGACCGCAGATAGAATGTAAAGCATCGAGGTTCTTACTACCTGCCATCAAGATAAATGGGAATTGATTATTCGGCCCATCAAAGCTGTTGAGATAATTTTTCCATCGGTCCATATTGATGTATAAGCTGTGCAGACCATGACAGCTGCCAAGAGTGCAGTATGCGGCTTCTGTATCTCGCAGACGCTGTGGAGTGTGAGCAAAATGTCTCGGGGTCCAGGGAAAACCGGGACCTCCCATCAGAAACCCGTATGTAATATCCACAGTCAAGTAGATTGATTTAATAGCATTACGTTGCTTGGGAGGGAGAATTTTCAAGATGATCAGTTCTTCCAATGAACAAAATTCAAATGTGTTATCTTTGAAAAGAATATCTGTGGCGTCGATGATGTTGCGGAAGCTAGCACATGTTATCTTCAGAGCTCTGTATGTCTGAATTTCTTTTCCCTTCCCGCGGGCTTTTCCCGAACAACGTCTAATGCGGCCTCTTTGGTTTCCAGTCTTGATCTTGAGTATGCACATCGGGAGCGTCTCATGATGAGAGTTTGTGGTGCAGGCAAATCTGAGAATCTTGGTGATAAGTTCGACGGGCAATTTCTCGAGCAGGAGACTGGTATTGTCACTGCTCTGTCTGGTGCTTTCGTTTTCTGACTCGATGACAGTTGTGGTTACCGGAAGTTTACAGGTATTGAGATCATCAGGGAGCTGCTTGTAAATAGAGCGTGCTTCTTCCGGTGAAAATCTGACCCAAGGCTCTGTCTTGATTGATAGATCAGTTGCGGTCATTTTGGTGTCCATTCCGATGTATTCTTGATGTGAAAATAACATTTGGAGATCTTGGTATGACTTTAGAGATAATCCTATGATGCTTCTCGCCAGTGTGTAAAGTTGTTGTTGTTATCAACTTGGTTGATAAGTGTAAAGTACTTTGATTTACTATGATGTAATCGTTCTTATCATTGTTAACTATGAGAAGCTAGTACTACCTATAAGGAAGCGCTAGCACCTCGCTTGCTAATACAGTGCCCTCCTAGATCACATGATCGATATCCCGACAGTTGTTGTTGTGATTCTTGATAATCAGAATCCATCAAACTCAGCGGGAATACTATGCATATATAAGAGTCTCAAAACACATTGAAAGCACTAGAGCTCTACGGCTCTATAGCATCACGACCCTCTTTCTTTCTGTGTATAGATTTAATAAAGTCTGGAACTAGAGTAGTCTGCAAGTGCCTGAAGCTTAAAATAATTTAGCAAATCATTCATCAGTAACTCAAAACTGCTCTAGAAATTAAAGATATATCTGTATTGACTTTCAGGAACGTCGGAGGTATCATATTCAACGTAAGAAGTGAGAATGGCACCCCTTCAATGGAAAAGTGTCTCCAAAAAAGACACTCGAACCTTTTGATTAAGCTACTACACATTTGCGGTTTTAGGGTGGGACTAATATGATTGAGAGATCCTTTCAAATTCGAGTGGGGCTGCTTGTAAGTAGAGAATATTTCTCCAAATAGTAATTAGACAGTAATCATAGAAAGATTGACTGATAGTAGCAGTGAATATTTATTGAGTATCATTGCACGGGAAAGAATCTTTATTGTGTATGTAAAAATATATCATATTTAATATTCTTCATCAACGTTGATTTTGTGTTTGATAAAATCAGTACACTTTAAGTCCAGTAAAACGCTTAGATTAACCTCTCGAATTTTTGTAGCTGTTGGTATCAACTTGGTTGATAAGTGTAATAAGTACTTTAGTCTATTATGGTTGTATTTTGTCCTTGATCATTATTATCTATGGGAAGCTAGTATTTAATATAGTAGAAGTGCTAGTGCTAGTGTATACGCTAGTGTAATACTGTGCCCTCTTTTGATCACATGATCGATATCCCAACAATAGCTCATCATGCGACTCGTCCCCATAGACTTGCTCCTGGAACTCATAGTCCCAGTTCGGTGGGTTCAACATATATTCCTTTGCTCTTCTTGCTGCTCCTACTGCACTGACCCATGCCGGGTCGATACCCTCGCTGAATCTATCAGTAAAATCTGGGATAAGTCGGGTACCCCACTTTCGAGCCACCCCTCTTTTGGGCCACCTTAAAAATTCATATTATATAGTTTTAAAACATCATTTATTCAACAATTATTCAGCATCATAATAAATACTTAAAGTTATACTTTCATTATTATTATTAGTATCTTCCATATCAATTTTACAATTTCCCGTTACAATTTGTATCTCCCTAATCTTTTTAATCTTAAAAAACTTCAAATTTAGATTAGTTTTTACTTTATACTTTTTTTTAAAAACGACTTGCTTTAATTAATACTCCAATTGCTTTATTCAATACTCAAACTATAGAATTTTATAATCCTTAATATCGAATCCTTTAATAATTTTCCTAAAAAACTAGTGGCGAGTATAAAGATCGGTCTTTTTGTTTTGAAGGAATATATATGAATATAATCTTAAATCATTAGTTTTTCGAGATGTTTTAAAAGTTGAAATTGCGAACTCCTTATTTTATTGATGTATAGGATTATTATTAAAATATAAATTCTGATTCGTAACTTTCTTATTACTATTTTCAAACAACAATCTGGATATAATAGGTTTAGTATAATTTAAAGACTATAAATCTGAAGTTTTTCATCCAAATAGTATATTATATTTTATTAAATTATCTAATTATACTTTCTAATAGTATATAAGGAAATTAGTCTTTCCAATTATTCTAGAATCTGATAAAGAAACTAATTTATTGAAATAATACCTATATGCTCTTTTGAGAAATAAAAATATGGATAAATCAAGAGGCTATAGGACGTGTAATATATATAATGGAAGGAATAAGAGGTATATATTGTATTTAAAGTACTTATATATAAATTCAATAGTTTTATGACTTCCATACTTATCCAATATAAAGAGTTTTAGCTTATCTAATGAAGGGAGGGCTATTTGAGGTATAAAGATCTTTTAAGCTATTTTAGGGTAATATTATTTGTAATCCATTTATTATCTATAATAGTGAAATACTACTCTTTATAGGGCTTTAAATTAACTGAAAATCATTATTGTTGTACTGATTTTCCTTTTAATATAATGAAGGGATTAAAAGCTTTTCCCACAGCTGAGATGCATTTTATAAGTGATATTCAAGTTCTAGAACTAGGCTCCTTTTTCTGAATAAAACAATATTCTGAGTTTCTTAGAATTAATCCATTTAATCCTTGGTCTTCTTATATACCTGTTTTATTTATATTATATCAATATTGAAGTTTAATATAATAAATTAAGGGCAAATCTAATTTTGGGAATTATTGATTAATAGTATTGATAGTTACACCTTTGATATGTACTGAATCGATTTTAACTTATCTTTTAGTTCTAATCTCTAGATTCCTTTAAAGAAAGTTTGTAACCTATCGTTTCCCAAGTATAGAATTATTTTTTTTAATATCAAAAAAATGTTTTTCAATTTCTTAAATTTGCCGATGTGTAGGATTAATATCCAAAGATTTTTGGATTAATATTTAATCTACTAATTATTTTTTTTATATATTGTATATCTTTTTTATAAGATAAATAATTATTTATATAATTTTGAAGAGTAATTCTCGGAATCTTATAATCCGAAGTGGCTTATTGAATTGAATACTTATTTATTATTATATATAAAGTTGAATTAATATCAACTTTGATATATATCTTAAATATAATATAAATAATGATATATCAAAATTTTAAATCAATTGATTCAAGTGTTATGAAGTTATTAAAGAATAAATAAAAAAAATCCCTTCTTGTAATAAGCTTTTTTAAGGTGGCCTAAAAGAGGGGTGGTCCGAAAGTGGGGTACCCGACTTAACTTTTATGATTGTTTCGCAAATTTTTTGAAATTCCGATGCGGGCGCGTTGCCACTGAAGATGATGCGTCTGAACTCCGTGAGCTCTGGTGGCTGAGAATCTGAGAGTGCTATTTTAACAAAGTATTTCAGGCGGGTTGCAAGGTGTTCAAGTTGCTCGGGCTGTGATACATCATTAGCCTCTTGGTTCGCAAATATCCAATGTTGGTCTTAGCAAAGACGTCATAATAGATAAATCTTAAGGGATCTCGAATAGACAAATCTCGAGTGCTTCATAGACCTAAAAGATATGCTCTTACAGAAGCAATCTGTCCCACACCCCCAAAGTCGGGAATTTTGAACCTTTGTTCCACCAAACTTATTTTCGTCCCTCCATCAGTTATTGAGACCTCAAGACGACTATCCTGATAGTCGAAATGTAACAGTAGATTGGACTCTTGGTCAATGTCAGTTCCTGCTGGGTATCCAAGGGCTTCTGCAGTATTGAGGCGATATCCTAATCTCATGCTATGGAGATAATGCCGTAATTGCGAGCCGTCTTTCATGCCAGGCAAAAGCTTGATTGCGACTTCTAGTAGATTGTTGAGATCTCCAATCATAACATCATGATATGTAATACCGAGTACTTCAATCGGTCTATTGAGTTTGGTTTCAGTTGCTTTCTGAATGGCCGATAGTGTTACGTTGAGCAGTTCTTTCAGTTCTGAGTCCGAATATATCTCTTTTTCGCTGAGCTGCGTTAGTTAAACCAGACACGGCAAAGATTCAACACAGATGAGTAGTTTCCTCTAGACATACTGATTATCGCCGTTATCCCAATAGCCAGGCTTGGAAGAGGTATAATTCTTCCACTCTTGTGTGGTATTGACCTTGGCCACCATTATAAAATCATCACTTTCATTAATGTATGCTGATGTTCTAGTTCAAAGTCAGTAACAGCAAATAATTATATACCAACGAATGGAAATTACTGACAGGCAGTCTATTCCAAGAGCAATACCAATTGCTGAAAAGCCAATAAAATGTTAGTTTGAACACATTTATATACACGAATAGTATAACTGACGAAAGTCATTCAAGGAAGCCCATGCAGATCCAGCCAATGCAGATAGACTGCAGGCGAGAAGGTATGGAAAGAGCCGATACATCGTGATTGAATCTGTCAATTATCTGAAATTTCTAGGCCAGTTGGAAGTTCTCGAACTTGAAAATGAGAACAGTCTTATCAACAAAATGATGGGAGCTATGCGGAGGCAATGATGTGTCAACGCCGCAGGTCTGCCGTAACAGTGATTCGAACGGCTACGGATAGAGTTCTCTCTCTCTTGACTGGAAATTCGCGATGATTTCTCATGAGGCCAATGACACTCCAACAGCCCGTAAGATTTTGAACAACAATCTGCGATGTCTCAACGGGAACGAACAGGTCATCGAGTGTTTCGACCAACATTTGTAAGATATACAAGTATCAGGGTGTAGAGACTAGTGGTAAAAGCGGCGGTAAGGTGCAAAACAATATGTACCTAGGTAGTTGGACATTTATTGGTTACCACACACACCCGGACATGCTGCAAGCGTCCAACAACTACGTCTCCGCCACCACAGATCCTCTGAATAGGTAACAGAGTCTGGAACCAACTATACTGTGGGTTTGGAAGTGAGAGATACCTGTGTGATGTACTTTGTGTATTAGGTAGCAAAAATAATCAGCTAGATGTGCTATATCAATCTTTGATGCTCTTAATTATTTGAGGAGAGCCTGCTGAACATCAACAATTGGAAAGAGTGGCTTGTGACTGATTCTGCCAGAGCGCTGTGTAATTTTAGAACGTTTTGAGTACCTCTCATCATCAAATATACCATATTGGAGCTGGAATTACCGCGGCTGCTGGCATCAGACTTGCCCTACAATCGTTCCTCGTTAAGGTATTTTAATTGTACTCATTCCAATCATAACCCTAAAACGAGCCCTGTTACCCCCTGTATACGGCTTGTTTTGAGCCGAGCTCGCCAAGCTAAAAGGGATGGCCACTTTTCGCAGGTACCAAACACGCTATAGAACCACACATCTTCCAGCCAACAGTTGTCACCTCGACCCCTAGAAAATCGTTTCAGCTAGATTATTTACGAAGTAAGTTTGCATGATGTGCCAAAGTCTTTTATGGAAGGCATACTCGTAGCATCCTTTTGAATCCTCCTACCCATTGAGCAAATTAATTACGAGTACCTGCATGCCAATAGGACTAGTTTCTCTCTCCAATTTTAGCAACAAATGACACCCCATAGTATGCAGTATTGATTCTCAAGTCTCAGAGACACTCGAACAATCCTATGTATTTCTGAGCCACCATCAATGGTTGTAACCGCGGTCATCGATTGTCTGCCTCACTGGCCCTAAATTTAGCATGAAATCATGGAGCTCAGGATATTTAGCCTTGACTTACCTAAGATATAGACGCTTCAAGCTTTTACTTACTGAATTACGAACAGTTGCAAAATTAGTGCACTCATAAGCCCTGAGCGTAGGCTGTAGAAGTTGGATTTGGGGCGAGGTCAGATTCTACACCTTCATTTCTCCCTTGAGAAAGAACAAAGTAGACGTATAAAGACTTCAAGATGATGTACTTTTCTGAACCTCATTCTGTGTACATACTTGCATTAGTCTCTATTTAGTTTCTTTCTTGTTGAAGAGTCCGATAGAATGCTGCAAATTAAGTTTACTCCGTTGGCAATCGTTCTTTTTCAATGTTCTTTGGTTTTATCTGCAGTATTACCTTCTGAGTATTTATATGTCAGAGATGCCAGTATATCTAACGCTACCATCGAAAAGAGGGCCCTGGATTTGTCTGAAATAGCTATGCTCAATAACTTGCAAAATGCGTACAAGGGGGTCTGGTGGGCTACGGCGTATCCCAATGCAGAGCGACCGTACGGGAGCAAGTATGATGTATCGTGCGATTTAAGTTGCAATTCTATGCTCATGACAAGAGTTTTTGAGGATCAACATTTGTAAATGATTCAATGTTGAGAATTCAATTGTCGACTACTTCCAATTTCCCAATTGCATTCTTAATACTCGAGTCCATCTGGTGGAGAACACTAGTCTGGAGTGATGAGTGCCTAATGTGATCTTAAATTTCCGCATGGTATCTTTTGTTAACCATCACTCGCAGATCGAAAATTTCAATATTCTTGTGGAAGCTACTCGAAACGCTGTGAGACTTGCCGAATATGCTGGGAGCGATACATTTTTGAAAGCCGCAGATACTTGAACGAGATTCTTGGTGGCCCAAAAGTATCCGAAGATAGTTTTGGGGCTTTGAGATATGTCTCGTATGAGCAAGTTATGCTTCATGAAGTAAGTATACACACTCATTCTCGGACTTCATTCTCCAAAACTGCGAAGCTAATTAACTTGGAATTAGTGGTTGCATTGTGACATAATGGGTTATAGTGAACATCGTAAGTTCTAGATCTTCGCAACGAAAGCATGTGCTAATAATCAATGACAGTTACAGATTTGTTTGATACGATCGATGACCATCTCCCAAAACGTGTAAGTTGTCTAATCTTGTTGGCTCTAGTTTGGCGCTGAATGAGATGTAGAAAATATATGGGATGAGTTAAGCGAGAGACTATGCATGGAAATTTATGCAGGGTGATAAGATGAACATAAACCAGAATATTGTTCCTAATGGTACATGTCACGAGGAATTTCTTATCACCACTTTCCACCCCATTTCGGCTTTCAATACTTTGAAGAAGCTGACAATCAGACAGTGGAGAATTACGTCTGGTACTTTGTCGACAAACTTTAAGGAAAACAATGGGGTTGGACAGGCAAAGGAACAGCCTACCCGGGAAAACTACCCGAACGTGGTTTCAACCGCATGACCAGGCAAACCGATGTCCAGGCCACTGTCGAGAATCTCGATCTTGGAGACGAAAGTACAGATCCTACAACTCTGTCAAAACCAGTCTGGCCTGCAAATTGCCACGGTGAGGCAGTAATTGATGCTGATGACACTAGTGCGATTATTTGCGATTATGTCATACCACTAGATGACGAATCGTCCTCATCTTCTGCACCTGTAGCTTCTGCAACTTCTACATCAGCACCTGTCGTTACGTTACCACCGGATCCTAAGAATTGTAGTTGTAACGAGGACGGATGTACAAAAGAATCGCCCGCATGTTGCGACGATGGCACTTGCTAGGTCCTGGAGTACTAGCTTGCTTGTACACTATGTCGCAGATGAAATTTTCTTGTCAGATTGGGTTTAATGTCAGATCAACTCGAGGTGTTATATTTGTTTTTGGGAGTCTGATAGGTTTCAATTCTAGACTGCGGTTGTTCATAATTGTAGATTATATGTGAAGTAAGTTCTGAAATTTCTCATCCAGAGAATATATCAGCAAGCTCCAAGAGTTCCTTCCACCTTGTGTCCTTTTGGATTTCAATCTTGCCCTCCGGAGTAGCAACTTTAAAATCATCGATCTCCTTAGGACCATATCGATGGTCGTTCTCAGCACCTACAAATGCGACCAAGTCACGAATCCAATTCGTCATCAGAACGAGTTCTTGTTCAGTTGGACCGTGCATTATTGAGAAACTATTCGGAGTGAGAGATTTGTCAGTCAAATGCTGTCTCTGTACTTTTTCTTTTCAACAGAAAGGCTTACTTCCAGAAAGGTTTATCCATCGCATGAGCCACACCAAAGCTTCTTGGTGCTACAGCATCTGTTATGAATGAAAGTCGATACGAAATCCTATACCGCCAGATATCCTCAACTCCTACACCATTTGAGAAAAGACTGTTTGCTAAAAACCGAGATGGTGCGCGCACTTGACCATCAGAAATGATATGACCATATACTGCCGTCCAATCGCTCTTATCGTTTGTATTTGGGACTTTATAGTGTTTCAGCACGCGAGACGTTGTCGCAGGTGCATAGTAGTTAGAAACTTGAAGGCGAAGAGAGTCCACGTTTGCTTCAGGTCCATTCGTTGCAGCGTAAAGTGTTTCTTCATTCAACATTTCGCCAATTATTATCTTGAAATTTCGCTTCTTGAATTCTTCCGCAAAAGTGCCATTGCGATTGTAGTCCATCATGCCTGGTTGAATGAATGATGAATCTGTCACAGGTCGGAATGTGTGATTCTTCAGTTCCATGATTGCGTCAACAAGTTTTCTCGACTCTATCCTGCGCAGCAATTCCAGCTTTTCGGCACCACTAGAGCCTTCTGGAATATCAAAGAACTGACACAGTTCGTCGAACTGGCTTTGACATTCAGCAGGTGTCTTTGGTTGTGCGGGGATCGCATTTGACATCATGACAATTCGATGGAATGATGGAGACGCGGCTGAAAATGCTGGGTTTTGAAACTCGTACATAGCATGTGCATGTACGGCATAAGCGCCTGCGCTTCTCCCTGCAAGGGTAATGTTCTCCACATCACCACCAAATCTTGCAATATTCTCGCGTACCCAATCAATAGCTAGTCTCTGATCCCATAATCCGTAGTTGCCTGCTTCGGCACTGCCGTTCTCTGCTTGCAAGGCATCACCAGCCAGAAAGCCAAACAGGTTCAGTCTGTAACCGATAGCTACTACAATAGCGTTCAACTTTCCCGTTGAAATGAGTTCGGTTGGATCCATTCCCGGTTCATGTGATGGGTCTCCCATTTGAAACCACCCTCCATGGAGCCATAGCATAACCGGCCAATTTTTATCTTTGGCTGCTTCAACCGGTGTCCAGATATTAAGTCTCAAGCAATCTTCGCCAAATGCCTCTTCAGGGGTTCCTATTTTCTTGGCTGACATATAAGCGGCCTGTGGACAAATCGGTCCAAATTTTGTAGCATCGAATGGCGTGCCATCATGTGATGTATAAGTATGGTCAGCAGGTAGTGGTTGAGGTTTTCGCCAACGCAAATCTCCTAAGGGAGGCAGTGCATATGGTACCCCAGCATACCGACGTGCCTTTGTATCATATTGAAGACCTGTGATAAAACCTTTTCCGTCGCCAAGATCGAGCTTATGCTCGGCAACGTTGTATGATATAGTATTACCCATGACGCCGGAGGAAGATGTCAGGCTATCTTAACGATTTGGAGAAACTGAATTTATCTTAAGCCAAAGATATA